CTTGTTTGTATGCAAGCTCTATCCACATGTTTCTTTCTATCAGAGCCTCCAAAGCCATGGCTTGAGCAGTCTGCAATCTGCCAGTGGTGGCGCTAATGAACTCTACGAATGTTACAGTCTTCCTTAAAAAACTAAAGCGTGAATCCTCTTTTAAAGATTACCCATATAAAACTCATGAACCGCGGCCGACCAACAACGTGTGATCATCATCTACGTGTTCGCGTCAATGGGTGCATATATTTGAGTGTATCTTTCCAATTTCATGTAGATACGACTGGAGTTTCATGAGCGTTTAAGGCAGAAAGTAATCTAATTCGTCTTGAGGCCTTCTTAGCCGTTTAGTAGCATCCGAGATAAAATTACCTAGTCTAGCTGCAGACGTCCATTCCAGAACGATTTGCCACTCTTCTTACCTCAGTTTTCTCTGTTCGCTTAACCTCTTGTGCGCCGTGAAATTCTTCATCGTACTGACACAGTCTCTGACACTCTTCCGCTTCAAACTCCCAACGAGGTGTTTCTGAGAGGATCACTGTGGCTGTACTGGTGACAGTCCTGTAGGTTTGTGTAACGGGCGACCGGTCTTTGGGTCTTTCGCAAAAGTGCCTTTCGTCTTCTTTGAGAGCCAACCTTAGGCCCCGAAGGGGGCTCTAAATTTGGCAGGTGGCATAATAAGTTTTCGGTGGCCCGTAGATATCCGGAAGGATTATTGCAATAGTCTTAATAGCTCGCTTTACTTTGGCAACAGCCTGTGCCACAGGGTCAATTCCGCTAAGCTGTATGTAAGATGTATGTCTACATATCTCGCCCCTGTTGTATTCTTAGGTTGTTTATCTAGAAGCTTTAAAGTTATTGATCGAGCTTTCTTTTCTGCTTGTTAAGAGGACTACTCCCGGAGTTCCAGTCTCGAATTAAACTCGGCTCTACGTTTGTGTGGAGTTTGATCTCCGTGCCGGATTCCGCTTTCACTGTAACGGTTAAATCACCTGCATAAGCCAGTAGTTCTCCTACATCACGGAAATTTTTGAGGTCACAAATGATGTCGTATGTTATGTTTCACAGTAAACAGTTCCGCAATAAATCCTTGAAGTATGTGTTCCATCATAGAGAAGATGTATCACTGCTCATGAGTTTTCTATCTTATCGATTATTAGAGATCACCCTGACCGAGCCCGACAGTAGTCGTTTTCTTCGTGGAATGCCCAAAAATAACCTTTCAATGTAAACTATGGGAAGTGTTCGTAACATCTAGAGAAGCTATTAAAAAGTGCTGTCTTTGCGTTTCTATCGCAGAGCTGTGTCCCAGCTTAGCTTCGGTAATTACTTGTTGCAGTTATCCTAGCCGCAGACCCGTGTTTACAAAAATCATATCGCAAGGCAGATGATAATCCATACCCTTCTGCGAACGTTAAATTCATTGGCCAATATGTTGATATAACATACCGGTCTGTAGCTTCCATTATGTTTCGGTATTTGTACTGTCTCTGCCATTTTTAGCTTTCAGGTAGTCGGCGGGGAAAGATTTTAATTGGTGCAGTTGCTATTACTTTCGACAGCCCCTTGAGTAGTATCATAACAGCAATTTAATATCAATGTATCAAGAGATAGCATATGAACAGAAAGATTTCTTGTTTTTATTCTGTCCGCAGCACTTGCTATTTTTCCAAATCTGCAGATAATATGTCTGATTTTTCACTGGCATTTCTTCGTGAGGCTTTGCATTCGTTGTGAAACAAATGCGGGGAAGATAGTTTCCTTAAGATTTTTTTCTTCGCTGATGTTGTGGGTTAAGCCTTGGATTTTTTTTTCGCCTCTGACCATTTTATAAAGTCTTTCCTACGGTTTCTCGTGTAAATCTTCTAGGAAGTTTGTCTTTTATATTCTTATGCTGTTGGCTGTAGGTTACTTTAAGGTAGCTCGGCATCTCCTATGTTGGATAACTGGATTAGAGATTTAGCCTATTTTGCCTTTAACCCTTTTTAGAGCCTTCCTTGCCTAATCGCGCGACTGTCGTGATTTCGCGATTTCCGTCAGTACATTGGCTATACCGGTGTAGCTCTCCTTGAATAAATGTAGGTATACTGACACTTTGAAAAGCTTTAGTGAAAGCTTTTTGCAGCTTTTTGGGATCTTCGGGAAATCCATTTTCTGTAAATATTGTGCTTAGAGATTTTTTAGCTTTTCTCCGCTGCGCGACCTGGACTTCGGTTTTGCATTAGTACTTTGTCCACTTTGAACTCAACACAATAACGATTACTAAGGTTTCCTTTTTGCATAAGTATCTATCACGCTGCAACGCAATCAGATGAAGCCGGCGTGTCGTCAGGTAGATGTATATCAAGTGCTTGTCCCGCCCAGTAAAGGTTAGGTCGGGCCCACTGTTGCTGGTAACTAGGTAGTGCCTGGCTAAGAAATCAGGCATCAGTTGCCCTTGTGATTAGTATTAGCATTATTGAATCCGTTAGCGTCATCCTATTCTAGTAGACTCGTAGAGACGCGCTCGCTCTGCTTTCGGGATTTAGCCGCATGTTGCCCTTGTTCTTTCTTTTCCGCCGTTGTCTCTGTTATTATACTTGAGGTTGAGAGCCTAGTGTCTCATCTTTCCGTCTAAAGCGGCATGATGTGTAATCAAGATGACTTTGTGGCCTTCATGACCAACAAAGTTTGTTTTCGAAAGCTGGTTAGACATCTTTGAACTATACATGCGAGGCTATCATGACCACCTTACCATACATTAAATAAGTATATTATAATATGTATCTAATCGATGAAGCATAGCTCATAATGTCATGTATTTAGGGGAAGAATTAAAGGTTCTTAACTGTACGTAACTGTTAAGAGAATGCTTAACAAACTTAGAACTGAATTAAATAAAAAAAGACGTTCCGACGATTGGGGTGAGGTAAAAAGACGCATTATAGCTATATTAGGGCCAACAAAGGTGATCGGGGTACACCCGGCGTATTAACATCGGTGAAACAGGTTCTTTCGCAGATACTGATCTCAGATAAGGAAGCAGACTACCATCTTTTTCCTAATCGTTATTGATGCCCAACGCAGAGGTACGTTGGAAGGTGCTATCATTCGCTAGTTACACAGTCAAACAGTATCGGATGGTAGGTTTATTGTAGGCATGAACAATACAAAGAATATAGTGGTTACTTATTACGGGACAGTCCTTTATTTGGTGGCCCCAAAAAGCTGCATTTGTGACAACGTGGGTTCTCTATTTTTCTTTTTGTGGTAATATTTGGCCAGCCGACCTATGCCATGATATTGGAAGGCTGAAAATGATTCCGCCATGTTAAATCTAGACTACCCAAATACAATAAAGTTGCTTGGAGCCTGGCCGTTAATCGAGACTTGGGGCTAGGTAACAATCCTACCCTAGGACCTATCCAGCTTTTCCAGTCGCAGGTTTTCTGGTTATGAAGGGGCAGCACGCGACTGAGATTTTCCCATAGTGCCGAAGTAGCCCCGTCACTGCTGAAGAGGGAACCAAGCCTTCCCAGATGGTAGCTCAGGAACCTGCGATCTTGTGGATGTCTGCGACTACTCTTTCGCAGCATTTCTGCAAAAGAAATATCCAGTTCTATATATAGTTGTTTATCCATATTAGGCGGTTTTTGTCCGTGTTCGTGGTGACTCCGTGGGAATCACCTATTATTAAGTATAGTGCCAAAGACTCGCTCCCGTTAGGTGTCTGACCGAGTGAGTCTTGCCAGACCTATCTGGGGTTTTTCCAACGAACTCATGAAACGACATGACACCACACAAGCAGCTACTAACCTAGATAAGATTTTATCTTCTTTCGTACCTTTTCTTTTTATTCCTTATGTTCCTCTAATAATAATTTTTGCCAACGCTAAGATTTGAGCTGGCGTGGCAGCATACTTGTTAGTTATAGTTATGGTAGCAATACACTCCTTTGGCACACAGCCCTGTGCCTTCAATTATGTGGTAGTTAGCAGGATAAGGTTCTGTAATGAGACTGGATTGGCGAGCTCGTGAGAGGTTGCCAGAAGGTGCGTGAATTTGTCAAACAGTTTGACTTAGATTTTTACGGTCTTACAAATTGAGTTATCTTTCCAGCCCCTTACAATATGGGAAGTTGCTGAAGATGAGGAATAACGCTTTATTTATTGGAGCTAAACGTGTCGCCTATGGCAACTCACGGAAAATATAATCTGAGAAGACCGTACATTAGAAAACCTCAAATCACTTAACAAAATGAAGCATTGTTTTTTCAAGTGTGTTTTGGGCCTTTACCATATGTCAAAAAGTTTACTAATTTATTTCTTTGTCGACGCTCATCAAAGATCTGAGATCTGGCTCTCTGCCACCGACACCTTTTCTTAATGTCTCAAGTGAGAGCAAAATTCGTCAAAATAGATAACGAATTTTTCAACCGAGGAGCAATTAAGCCATGATTAGAAGAAGGCCGGGTAGAATAAATCATATCGTTCCGGCCGGTTTCGCGATCCATAGCATTCACCACAAAATATGTACTGATAAGCACTTTTAGAAACCAAGCGGAGACGTACTTGGAGATGCGGAAGGAACTATGATAAATTTCATAGCAATAGTTGACCTCTGATTGGAAGTCTGCTCCACTGACTCTACCACAGGTTCAGCACTTATGCCGTTTTTAGAATTTGAGGCCTATGAATATTACAACTCAGATAACGCGAATGAACGATCATGATCAATCTTGTAGTATATTAATTGTATACTCTTTCGTTACGTATTGTTATACACACGTGTACCATCAATGGTGAATGAACGGTATGTACTTTGAGGAATCCATTTAAAATTTCAGTGCAGTAGAATGCAAATCACACAAAGGGAGTTAGATCGAATAGGCTGTCAAAATCATTAGCAAAATTCAAAACGCCATTTTGGGGGGTCAACAGTACCGGAACTTCGATGCAACGATCGATTAACAACTATACGTATCGTAGTAACCTAGATAAAGCCTAAAATATTCGTTTTTGCATTTTCAGGTTTGTTGCGTTTTTGGCAGTTGTGGATCATCAATTCTGAAATGAAGAGGAATCCAAACTCTGTTGCTACAAGCTGTTTTCGAGGCTGTGGTATTTGTAACTTTTGTAAATCTTTTTTAAAAATAAAGGGTAACCACAAACTGCCGGTCGTTAGGGTTGCAGCAGGAAATCCCAACATGGCCCATTAGCTGAATGAAAACAATATACTGATACAGTTGTTGTATATATTTTCTAGTCATAGAAAATTCAAAAGTCTACTGATTAAGAAGGTGGTTTACATAGCAAAGAGATGCACTTTAAGTAATCTAATCTTCAATGCATAGTCAAGTTCAACCGTTATGCTGCCTCACCCTCATTAAACTTATTCTTTGTGCAATTAGTCGTCTTATAAGTACCTGCATAAATGAGAGCAGTTTTTTGACGGCAGTTAAATTGGGATTTATTATGTAAGGTTTATATCATTACCATAATTGTGTCAGTAACATAATCTTCGGTATGTCTATAATGACTAACGTATATGCCATATCTTAGACATTCGTGTGAATATACTTTATGTACAGTTCTATCTGTGTCGTGTACGATTCTTCTATTTAATCTATATCTTTCTTGTATGGAGAGGTATTATACATATATATGTGTATATTCACGATAGAAATTTTTTAAATTTTGTTTGACCGAAGCTTATAGGCTTTCGATGTACGCAAGCCCTGCAATCGTTTGGAGGCGTTGCTTAGCAAACTCCATCCAGTGGTAACGAAGGGTCCATTTGCGTTCTGGAAGCCTAGGGAAGCTGTTGAAAAACAATCGCCGATATCTGGATTTTCTTCACCACTTTTTGGTAATCGAAATAATATTTAGATCTGTATATCATTGTTTGCGATTCATCCTATATCCCGGCCTTCCCTCGTTACTGCGTGGGATCTAAGTAGTTATGAGTGGTTCTGAACCGCATGGCGTGACATAGTACGTGTATGGGGTTATTACATGCGTATGAAGGTAGCACCCAAAACAGAATAAATTTTATTCCTGGATATTTTGGAGTATAAGGGATTTAAGCATATTTTTAGTTCATTTTTCAATGAATATAATTACGATTAGCGTGAACTTTATTGTTTTTTTCGTGACGAACCGCCTAGGTCTTTACCATAAAATGCTGCAGATGTCCGTTTCAATGTAGATTAGGAATTAGTCGTATTGACAGAAGGCGGCGGCGCATATTAACGTAACATAGTTTATTCACAAAATTCTGAACTTGTCGGGAACATACAACAATATGTTCCTTTGCCTTAATGTTTTTATTGGCGCTGTTTGTATTGTTTTAGTAATATATGTGTCTTCTATAATAAAAAAAAAAGTTCTGATAAATATGATTGTGCTCGTAATTGTAAAAATGAATGTTGATCTTTGTGTTGCCTCATCGAGGAGCATATTCCCAATTACGTCTTAGTTGCTACCGCATAGGCGGCCAGGAACGAGCAATTAGCCATTTGTGTTTGACGTAGTATTTATGATGCAAGAACCTGAGGCTCTACATAAGATGTAATAAGGTGGGTGTTGCGGGCTTTCACAAGTTCTTCTAGCATTATTTCACAGGCCTGCGGGATAGAGCTATCTGTATGTCTATGAACTGCATGTGAACTTGAATGTTTTAATTAACACGCTAGTTTTTCAATAATGGGCTTTGAAAAGCTGAATAATAATAAGTCCTATGTTGTTATTTAATAGTACATAATAGTAAGTTTTTTAAAACGAAAGACATTGAAAAATAATCATCCGTCCCCTTTTTGAAGCTTGCAAAACTGGTCCATGTGGATGGTATACTGGTAACGCGCAGCATGTATTTATTTAATCAAAACGGAAATGGAAACCTCCATGCGTACTCTGAGCACCGCTAAAAGGCCCGCCGCCAAAGAACATCTGAAAATAAAACAAGATGGCGCGCATTAGCTCAATATTGTAGTGGTTCAATTATGAGAAAGTTAACGCACACAGACGTACACAAATATATATATCTTCGTATCGTGCAGAACGTAGTCTAGATATTCTTCCTTAGACATCAACGACTGCCTAATTGTAATGGGTTCGCAATTCGATAAATTACATTAATAATAATTAATTAAATAACGTTACAAATGTGCTCTTGTATATTCTTTTACTCAATATACAGTTCTTCAAGATCAGGCAAGAAAGGCCGAAAACATAGCGTTTTGAATTCACTGTTCAAAAAACTAGACTCTAAAAAGCCCTGCGCACTAACTGGTGGGATAAACACTAAATTATTTAGTTTTAGTTATTTCGTTTATACATGACGCATGTTTTGGAAGTAAATAATGGTATTCAGTAAAGATAAAATCATCTCCTACGCGAAAATGGGTAAACAACCTTTTGCTGTTAGCGCGATTTAATTCACTACTCGCGTAACTCTTGGCCAATGCGTGAAGCGCTTTTTTTAAAACAGACGTGGAACATCAGAACTTGGGACCTCAGTACAGCAAATAGTACGCTGTGACTGGCGTTACGCAAGAGACAATAATAACCGACCATCACGTTGATTCGATTTCACTACAGATCGTGCCTGCCGATATGTCAAGGATATGGATAGACAACATTTTCGGGACCTTTGACAATGGTATGAGCAGCCTATAAAGATACCTCTTGAGAGAAAGTTAAAAGTAGTCTATAAGAGCTTCTTTGACTCATGAACATTTCCAAAGTCTAATATAGTATAGTGTTGGGTCAGACGAATTGATAAATAATTGCATCAGCTTATTACCGGAAGAGTAGTCATCCTTGGGGAGCATTATTTAAGCACACTGATTTATGAGGAAAAAATTAGTTAAACATGAATAAGTGAAGTACCGAGGGACAAAACCACGGTATAGAAAACTAAACGGCTCGAACAAAGTTACTCTCACAAACTGTCGCCTTTATCAAACAAGCAACCTCCCGCTCAGATATTTTTTGAATTGTCGTTCGCACGCAGCGTGATTGCTTCAACTATTTGAGAGTTCTGCATACGGCGATAGAATCCCGAAGTACAGTGCCGAATTCTTCTCACCTTTTGCGCTTATACCTCACGAGTGAATAATTAACAAAAAAGGCTCTCATTCGGCCTCTGGCTCGAGACGTACAACTCATTGCGAAGGTTGGCGCTGTACTCATGCAGGAGCGCCTACCGGCCCCACTTTTCCGCAGCTCATTCACAGTCGTATGTTACAGTAGTATGTAAGGCTAAGGTCGTCTATGCATCTCTAAGACTGCTCTGATCGGTAGTGTTGTCACAAGAATTGGCGCCCGTCCTGAGTTTTCTTATATAAGCAAGAATTACAACCACATTTCGCATTTACCGATGCGGCGAACGAGCCCAGCCTTATGCTGTACTGAGGCCCTTGGAGTCAGGCTGTAGTGTCCCTACAGCATCACGGCCTAGTATTTCCGTCGTGGTCTTCAGAGGCGCACGTCAACGAAGTATATAATGCACTACATTATACCTGCATAGGTTCTCAATTTTGGGCAGACACGCGAGCAACACAGACATTCAAACTAACCTAGTTACTACATAAAAAGATACTGGAACGTTATACATTGTCTTAAAAACTATACGTACTCATATGGCTCAGCAATTAGTTTAAACATTTTAAGAAGGGTAATGGAAATTATCGGGAAAACTTATCGTGCATTATATTGTCATCTAGATACGCAGAAGCCGAAAGGCGCATCATTCGTCCAATTTAGCGGCTTCTAATCCTACAACCCGCTGGACGTGTTGAAGCACACGTCACGAAAACAAGACCGTTAAGTATGCCACGGCACGTCGCGGGCCCAAAAAAAACGAAGAAGGTGCATAAAGATTACGTTTTTAATATACTGTGCTTGCGAACGACGAAGCCAGATACCAAATAACATCTAAGTATCCACAAGGATCCGAAGATCTGCTTTAGACTACACCAATGTCGATAAAATTAGGGCTACAGTTTATTTTTTAGATATTGTTCATTTGCTGTACCTGAGGGATCCTTTTATACAACAACTCCCAATCGAGAGCTGCTGAAGATGTCGACACTTTGTGATCAAGTGTACATTCAGATCAGACTTTTGTGTGCGCGAGCTACGCTTCCGCCGCCTAAAAAAAGAATCCCTTATCCTTATCCCTATCCGTTCAAAGTGCTAAAACGAATAGTTGCCTATATAGCTCGAATACACGCAAAGGATAAGGTCAACACTGTCCCAAAACATAGCCAAGTCATATGTACCAGCCAAACTGCTCTTTACATTTAAGCTATTAGAGAAAACTCATTCTAGCTTTTTTAACTAACACTTTGATTACAGAGACAAGTTCAGACTCTTCAGGAGGCAACCCGTCCAAGAGCAGGCGCCTTTTTGAAAGCAATTCCGCTAACCCTTACGGCGGCCTGCGTCGAGGACACCAGCTTACTTAAGCATGAATCTACGCCTGGATTTTCGCTCAATAGTGGGCTAAACACGTCACTGCTTCAGCGAAGTAGACGAACGCGGTCAACAAGGCCTGTAGCACCACTTTAGTTCCATGAATAGAGCTTCCGACCGATTTAGTAAAGCCGGCAACTTTTTACTCAAACAACTTTCACAACATGACAGGTGTTTTAGGACAGTAGCAGTATCTAGCTACTTCTGTGTTCGCTTAGATCTTAATGTTTCTAGATGATGTTGTATATGCATAGTTGTCATAAATTTCTAAACATATCCTGCAGTAAAACAAAGATCGTTAAAAATCACAAAATGACGCTTTGAAAGCATCATATAAGATAATCAATAAAAATATAGCGCAAACTCACATTTCACATAAAAGTGAAGCATCAGCTTGTTACAACTCGTTGTATTTATAGGGTATTTGAAAGGCAAAATAAAGCCGTGTCTTTTGCCCGGTGCCCGTTTTGCCGATTCATTCTCTGATCTTTTTTTATTTCTCTCGCTTTGAGAAAATGGCGAACGCTGCTACATGTTGCTGCTTACACCGTTCGCTGTCCAATTATTACTCGATCAAGGTATTTTCTACTTTACGGCTAATGTGCAACCAGCCTCTATTTCAAACAAATAGCTCCAGAGCGGTTCGCGTTACTAACGCACCTCCCGTTTTAGTAATGTAATAGACGAACCATATCCGAATTCGATGTTAAAAGCCCTAGAAGAAATCACTTTGGAAGAACCGGTGACCTGGTCTAGAATCCTACGAAGCCTGCGCTTAATTTTTTATAATGTTGCTTCACTTAGTCGTAGGAGTACTGCATATGATTATAAAGGATCGCAAAGATACGTAAGCCAATAAAATAATGTCATTTACAATAAAAAGATACATTTTCAATCCACAATAAAATTGTTGCACAAAAAAATGCAGCAAATCTCAGAAAAAAAAGAAATTATAATGTGAACGGTGATATGAGCTTACATAAACAATTAAAAACTGTGTTGATCCCACAAACGCTACTTTGAATCTAGAATAATAGCGGTTGAAGTTGTCGCCGAGTAAAACTAAAATAAAAGTATTCTGGTAAAAATGGTACCTGGAAGGGGTCTACATTAGGAGTAAAGCCATGTCCTCCATCGCAAACATCATCGTCCATGTCGGCTCCGTTGTCATAACGTGACTTCTTTCGGGGATCCGACAGTATTCCGTAGGCCTCGCCTAATTCCTTGAACTTTTTTTCTTGGTCACGTTTCTCACTTTCAGAAGCATGAGCGTGTCTATCTGGGTGATGCCTACGATTCAAAGACACGACAGTTTGTTATATGGCTGCTGGCGGACAGAAAAACTTAATAGGTCTTAGTATCACGTATGTAACAAAACAGCCAATAGTTATTATCATCATCGTAATATAAACAAAAATCGTTGAGTAGGTAGATTTTCCCAGGTTAGTTTCGCACATCTTTACAAAGGCTGTTAAGCAGGAAACCGTTTTGGGCCGAGTTCCCTTTTTGATGTATGGTAATCATCTCTTGCATCTCGGAACGTCTTCACCGTTCTTATTATCCAAACATCTGTACTTTTCACGCGTTACTTAAAATCAACTCATCGCTATCGAATCTTACCAAATTTAGCCTCACGAATTGAAACCCGTACATTTCTTAGGTTATAGTCTTAGCTGTTCTGAAACGGTAGCAGATTAACTTAAACCCCTCTGTCCGCATCCTTCTCGGATCAGTCTTTACTGTAGACGGATACACCAGTTCTTTTTGGCCTCGTGCTTCTATCTAACCTATCGTCAGATTATTTACACATATAGGCCTGGTGGCACTCATCAGTTCAATATTTAAGATGAGGCTTACTGGTTTTTCAGCACAAGTTCTGCCTTAAGCTTAGATGTTGTCATTTTTCTGTATCACATCCTTCAGTATAACTGTCTGGGGTGAAGGGCATAACTTTTCTATTGAAATCCATATAAAGTTCTATCTGAGCCCTCTGCCTACTTTATCAAATCTGAACAGTAGATTGAAAATGCCAACATTTAGACCTCAAACTTCTCAGCATTAGTACCCCGCAATGTGCAATGATGCTTATGAAACGATAGTGACCGGTTTGTTATATCATATAGGTGCAAAGTGTAATAACATTTATGTTGGTCAAACGTAAGTGCATAGAGAACTGAAATACCTCAAATAATCGCTAAACCCTAACTGGAATCGGCCCCCTAAGTTCATGATTGTCACACTAGCGCGCTCCTCCCAGTCATCGCAGAGTTAAAGCAAATAATGAAGGGTTTTAAAGAAACTTATAGCTTTAAATTTCCCTTTAAACCCACCAAAAACGGTATTAGTAGTTAGTTCTTACTATATGATTAATCATTTTTTCTTACCCTTCTTATATACTCAATCTATTTGATAGGTAGTCGAAGTCTTGGTTTCATACTAGGATCTACTGATATAATGGATATAGATCTGGCATCATTGATACACGAATTCCATTATTTTAGGTTTCTATTAATAATAATCTTGTATTTAGTAATAGTCTGTATAAAATTTACAGACTTTAGTAGATCAAAGATAACCACTAAATCTGGAACCTTTTATAGAGGCACCATGTTTGAATGTACAATGCGGCAGGTAAACCTGACCATTTCGAAATTGAAAATTTTGCCATAAAATCCTTCGTCAACCGTCATTAACATAGTGTAACATAAAGAAATCATATTGTAGCAACATATTGTCATCATATTGTCGCGACGTTCTTGGCCAAGTCAAGGACATCGCGTTCTAAACCGACATGAAGACAGATATCTAAAAACTGAACACGGCATTTTCGCTAAATTGCAATTTACACACAAAGCTAAGCAGATGCGCATTGAAGATAATAAAATTAAGAAAATACTTTGCTACCCTGCCTTTTTATTTACTTTTTAATACGAAACATTTGCTCATCTTTAATTTTTCCCTGGCGAAATTCGCCCTGTTGATATGATGTCCATCGGAAGAACGTTTAGTGTTTCGTCTACGAATTTCACTGGGGCTAGAAACAAATTTTCTATTTGTGATCACAGGTTAAAATGAAAATATGTTATGCGGTGGCATGGCTTAAGTAAACGAAAAGCTCGTGAAATATGTATCGGGCATTCTATTAAATTTTATTTAAAGAAATTGTTGTTGTACTAATGTATATTATAATATAATAAACAAAATATGAAATACAGTGCAAAAAAAACAATGGGTTGGTAATGGGCAACGTAAACAAATAAATAGAGACACTGGGACATTAGGCAGGAAGTAGTCTCATTTTAAAACATACTTGAGAGCTGCCTTTTTGTATGCTTTCTTGATATCATCCTGGCTGGCGTTTTTGCTGATTCCAAGGATCTTATAATAGTCCTTACGCTTCGACTTCCGCAATTCGAGCTAGCACCAACGCAGAAATTTGTTAGTTCTTTATATAAACAAACAGTTTTTAACTCTTTACATGCATTAAATGTCAATGTATAAGGTCATTCCTGCTATTTTTTGAAACTTTAAAGCCTCCTTTCAAGCTTGGATTCGCCTAGTTGATGTTTTTAAAAGTAACCTTCCACGCTTTTTTCTTTCTATAGAAATGGACATAGATACTTGAATGTATTTTAAAATTGAGTAAATATAGAACAAACAGACGATTAGCTCAGAGAATATCAAACTCCGATCCAAATCTTGAATCGCCAATCTTCTATTTTCAGTTTTGAAACATAGATTACGATCGACATACGTGTGCACAAAATGTACGAAAATTGCACGAAGAGCCTCCATCAGAATCATTAATTCAATACATATCACCTTTGCAATGTAATTGCAATATCTCTATGTATCAAGTTCTAATACTAAGTTGCTTTTTTAAAAAGTAGCAAATTTTTGCATATAAATAACAAGGAGTACTAGTGAATATTTGATCGCAGCTAAAGTATGTTACCTTGGCATTGTCAAGCAGCCGTTTATTATCACGAGATTTATCTTGTTGGTAAACGTGTTCTAGGTCGCGTACAGCTTCCTCGTACATTTCCATATCTTGATAACTGGAATTTCATATTTCACAATAAAACTCAATGGCACATACGTTGGAACTTTTATTAATATGCCTTGAGCGCGTACGGGTTATCGAATTCTGTCAGCATATGATTACGAACTTTGGAGAGATTTCAAGTGAAATGAAGTAAATAAGCTACGTGGCAAAAGTTTATCTTACCACTGGGCGCGTCGGATGTAGGCTCTTGTATAGTAAGCGTCAAGTTCGATGGCCTTGTTAAAATCTGCTAAGGCATCATTATGACGATCAAGACGTAAACAGCATTGTGCACGATTACAGTGCAACTGAAATTACAAATAGTAGATAAAATAGATCAATAAAAGCTTGACATTTATACATGATATTTAGTCGATGAAGAATACATTGTGTTCAACTCATGTTATTATGAGGGCTTTTGCAGACAACATACAGGATAGCAAAGTATTATAGTTCTAAGCTAAATGTTATTCAAATTCGTCGCTTTAAAACCTACATCCGATCAGTTCTGACCGTTTACAACGGTTACACGTATGTGAATGTGTGCGTGTCTGTATTCGCGTAAAATGCGTGTGTATGTGTGAGTCCACGTAAAAATTAGGTAACCGAAGAAAGCGGAAGGCTGTCCTTCAGAGCAGAAGGTCTAAAGTGTCAATTAATGTACGTGGAGTAAAAAACAATGCCGCAATTAAAAGTGTGAGACATCAACATCGTAACGATCGTTGGTTAATGATCGAAAGCACGCTTCACAGCTGATGGGGTCCGACAGAATCCAGTTGCGTGTGTTCCGTACCAACTGAGAAGTGGCGAATGGAAGCAGATAAATTCGTAACAGGAAGGGCTCGAGGAGCACCTTTATTTATTCATCGAGATTTGTGTAGACGTTCGAACAGAACTTATCGTCTACAATATACTAAAGCGATAACATCTAATAAGTTAACCATAATACTTTGATTGCATGGCTAATATTTGCTTGATGAGTAAATAAATTTGTTTAGAAGGATATGTTAGGCAAAACAGCACAGCTACAACCCTACAAGAATAGCATGCAACACTGTTTTAAACTGACGTAATTCGGTGACCTGCTAAAACGTTTCCTACCACCTGTAGCTTAGATAGCTAGCATGGGAAACCTGGTTCTCTGATTAGTCGCTAATCAAACCGACAGGTTCAAGTGTAGTCTAAAAGGTTAATTTGCGACCATAAGAACGCGCGGGCTTTTTTAAAATCGTCAGAGCAGAATAGCCTTTGATAGATAGATAATGGTGGTGTTACTGCCATTCCCTGACCCTGTTCAGCCAAGACCTTCATACCAAGGCCTTTGCCCAGTGGTTGCTATACGCTTACTACTACAAACAACACGATAAATCGGAACAAGATTAGTAACAATGCGGCTGTATAAAGGTTTCGCCTTATATAATACTCAGCGGCTAAAAACAAGAACTGACTTTTCTATGGTCAATATTGCATTTAGTTTTAAGACTATTACACTTGACAAACAAGAAAAACACTGGTTGTATCAAGCAAATTTATCTATATAAATGATTAGCTATAAATTATTTATTAAGTAGATATACTAAAATGTATTTAGAATTTGTGTATTTATGTATATATTTCGGTATATATGACTAAAATGGACGTTGCATTTTTCCCGGATAGTGTGCACTTTGAATTTTATATTCGAGGAGTTATCAATACAAAGATTCTTATTTACTCTACGCACGGAGATAAATAGCTAACTGTCTTTAACCCGATAACTTCACTTGAATGTAGGCAAACAAAGAATTTCCTGACAAACGATTTGCAGATCCGATGCTTTAAAGTAAATTTCTCGCAGTCTGCCTGATCAGTACGACACAACTTGCAAAGAACACGAACTCATAAAAAAAAAAGCATAAACTCAAAGGAGCTTCGTATGTCCATAAAGGTATAGAACTTTGGTATAAAACAGAGAAATCTTGCAGAATAGCCCTTAAAATTCACGGTATGATTCCTCAAGCCCCTTCTCTTTTTATAATCACATGATTATATTGTGTATTTCGCTATCAATACCACGTCACTCCTTGAAGGTTTAGATTTTTTATAATCTACATGTACAGATAATTATTTTGTTTCTACAGAGCCTAAGGACATTCTTAAGTCAAGATTTAGTATGTAACACAAGGTGTACCCCTGGCACTGTGCAACAACATCTGATGTTTTTTGTTCACATGTAAGCGATGAGGCATATGAACTTCTTCTCGCGGCAAATCAGAATTTCACGGCATTTTCGTTTTTTTTTTTCATTGTTAATTCAGTGCGTCTGCAAAAACAGCAGTGACAATCAACGCGGATTCTTTGATCACTCCGGAAAAAACCGTTACTGCGAGTCAACCACATCCATATGACAAAACGTGCAGCAGTAAGATAGACAAAATAGCACAGCTTTGCCCGCTAAATCGTTAGCATCCTTTCTTTAACGGTAGGAAGTACCGACAGACATCTCCTTTTTCAATATTTTAGCGTGTTCCATTACTGGTTAGTCCAGCAGCTAAAAGCTAATATACATCGTAACAAAACACGAGAAGAGCAGCAATTTTTTTTTCTATCTTGTTCTTCTGCATTCGTAACATACAGGTGTTCGCAAATTAAAATGTAATATCTGGAATAAGCAGTATTGTGAATCAAATTGGTGTATATAATATAAAATTTGTGACAAGAAAATCTTTTTTAATTTGAGTAAGGAAGGAATTGATAGAAATATATATTGGGTTATCGAAAAGGTATTTTCTAGCTAAATGCTTTAAAGTCACGTGTCTTAGGTAATTGATTCGCGCCGGGTAGCCTCGGCATCATTCGCAAGCTAAAATTCAATAGCAGATGTGTTGAATTTTTTGGGACACCTTTGTACAGAATTTACAGAATCTGGAATTTCTGCGAAAATTTACTATTTGCAGAATTTTAGTACAATGAAGGCTCAAATACATTCTAGGCCCATAAAAAGGCGTGGTATTAACAAATATTAAGAGAACTTAGATGGGAAATTTAGTGCATTCGCCGAATAGACTGTTATGTTCTCTGCAAACTTCTTTAATACATTTAGTTTAATTTTAATGGAGGGAAGCAAAAAGCGTTTGCCACAATTTTTCGCCCAGAAACCACAGAAACTCCATAATGATCGGATTATGATGTTACTACAAAAATGGCTAAAAGTCATCGATTAAATGGCGCATATATAGTTTAGCAATATTAAAAATATAAAAAAAAATACTTGTTTCTACTTTAGCTTTAATAAGGCAATTTGTCAACAACTCAATATATATATGTGTATATCACATTCCAAAAATTATGTAAATTTATGCAGTACTGTCCACGGCCTGAACAATATTTATCAATGACTGGCATTCGGAGTAGATATAGTTTTCACATCCATTAGTAAAAATTACAAATCTTAGCCTACACGCTTGGCAAGATTAACATATTTGGAACAGCAGGTTAAGAATTAACTGTAGATCTAAGAGCGTTTTAATTGCACAGAAATAATGAACAATGGTGTTTTGTATAAAATAGAAAACAGTAACATTAAAAATAAAAAAAAAAGACCATATAATAGTAATAATAACAGGCCTCACAGTCTATATATTTTACTTTTGTGTCTGTTTATCTACTTATCCTTTCTCCGCATTCGCACACCTGTTTCACTTGAGAAGGCCCCTTCTTCACAAAAAAAAAGGCCTCTTGCCAGCACCTGTTGCCTGTGAACGAAAGTAAGTGTGACCGCTCCTATTGTTCAAATATCGGCTCTTTACGTGAAAAAAAGAACTAAGAAGCTCCTGCAGCAAACGGAAAGGAATAATGCTAGAGAAGTAAAGAAAAGCATAGCTCTTGTACTTCTCCATTTGAGAAAATATAAAAAAAAATAGCTAGAATGCACTTGTTGAGTTTAAATTTTAACATTTCGTACCTCCAGTCAATAAGCCAGGTAAATTCACATGAAAGAGTTAGTTTAGTTAATACGAATCATTTCAATGTGGTTCAATAAATAAGTTTGTAAATCCTATATCATAGTGTGATGCATGCGTGTTGAACAATCTAAGTAAACGGATAAATAGCTACATTTTAATCACAAATATAATGCTCTTAGGGAAAACTTTTGTAATACTACGAAACGGCTAAGCAACATTTCGAGCACTCCAACGAACAGGCATCATATCAATTAGGACTTGTACCTTAGCATTGGTAGACTTGTTCAAAGGATCGATGGCAAGAGCTGCAGTGTAGACCGCGTGGGCATCTTGAAACGATCCTTTCGAAAATAGTTCATTACCCCTTTCTTTTTCTGCGCGAAGATTCTTGCATTGCTGCGAACAGAAATCTACAATTACATTGGAAAGCCAACAACTTCATTAATTAATTACATTTATTTTAAGAAGTTAATTTTTTAGCACACATTCATCAGCAATTCTTTAGTGAGGTTAGCCTCGTTTCTAAATAATAATAAAATAGAATCGAATAAAAAGCCTCAAAAACTTCGCTAAAAATGAAATTAAACACTAATTACAATCAGAATTTATGAGCTCTCGTTCAAGGATTACCCGCAAATATAGTTCTTTGTAAATTTTGTTAGCATTTACTATTGGTTTTCGTTCTTCATGTTTGAGCGGGTTCAGCTGATTGGTACCAGCCCTGATACAATGCACAATTGTTTTATTTGTGCATACCTTGAAGGCCCGCGCAGCTTTTGAGTGGTCAGGAGCTAATCGCATAACTTGCTGGAAATGTTGTAAGGCTTTATCAACGTTATCTTCGTAGTAAAGTACTAGACCACGAACAAAATACGCGTCCGCGTTTGAATTATCAAGCCGAATTAAATCCAGCGCAACATCCCTCGCCTCTAGTAGCCTGAAATTTCAGTAGAAAAATTGAACCGAGCATGCAGTTGCTTGAAATCATTTTAATACTGAAATATCTTTCCCAATAGATTAATTCTATGGGCACCCTTTTTCTTAATATTAAATCTGTGTATCCCAATAAAAATTGTATTGTTTTAGAAAATTGCACATCTACCAAATCGCACCAAGACGGGTATACAGTGATATATTAACACGCTATAGGCTTTCAGTGACAGTGATGGTACTAAAAGATTGCAGCTTCGAAAAAAAAAATCAGTACATGCACGCATTGTCTGTACGACGTTCACAAGCTGCATGAACAATTGATGATCTAAACTAAACATCGGATATTAGTATGCTCATATAATCTTTGAGTATTCATTTTGTCTTACGACAGTGAGCTAAAAAGAATGATACTATACTTTTTACTTAAAACCTCTCAGAACAATTTAGAAGGGCGATTCGAATTTCACCTTAATACGCTTATGCCTTCTACGAACGAAGCACACAAAAGTTACTTTGTTGTTCTTAATTGATTCTCATAAAAAGAATGCGTTGCTCAAAATGTATATGGAGATAGAAACGGTTTGCATGCAGAAATTCCTTAAATAACCAAACACTGTAAATACAGCATACGAAATGGTTGCAAAACCTGTTACAGTCACTGCGACCACAATGTAATAGAATATAAATATTGCTATTACGTAGCCATTTACTACATAATTTCAAAAAAGGACAACTTCGTGACCCGCCCGAGATTGACATGGATGTTGTTAATGTGAGCGCTACGCATGCCCATACAAAGTGTTACGTAACTTGAATCAAAAATCACTTGAAAAAATCACTATACGAGACACGAATATACGACGATATACGAATAAAATCACTCAGTGGATAAACTTTTTTACGTCCGGTAGTTTTACTAAAGATTGCTTCAGACGACTGGTTAAGCCCGACACAAAGTGTCTACGTTAGATCTCAAACCTGGAACATCTCATGGCATCATAGCACCATGACGGGGGGTTTGTTATGGCAGTTACGGCGCATAGATACGGCTTGTTTATTTGATCTGAGTTCAGCAAACCCTCCTATGGAAGGATGAAAAACAAGAAAACTATTACAAAAAAAAACTCTCATTTGCTCCACTATAAGATCAGAAACCGCTGTGACATTATTGTGCCAGTGACAGACCCCCCCCCCCCGCTTCTTGACATACTCGAAATCTTTGCGCATTAAAGCAACTACAAAAAGAAGAAATTCTGTTACTATAGTATTCGTAGTAACATCGATCTCCACAAAAGATAACATAAATGTTGCTGATAACCATGCATACAATTATAAACATCTTAAGCTGGCTTAATTCGCTAGTTAAATCTATGATTAACTCCCTTTTTTTATGGTTAACTTCCTTTTCTGCCAGAAAACTATCTTTATTACTAGTTCATGAAGTAACACAAAAGATACTCAATAAAGTTTAAACTTAAAGGAATTTAAATTAATAAAAATTATACAACCTTGGAATTAAGTTACGATGTCATAGAAAGCCAAATAAATATTTACTGACGAATATAACCCAAAGCAATTTAAGAAAAAAATTTTTATACATTGTTGTAACTAGTTTATTGAACATGAAAAGGCTATTGGCTGCAGCTATAGTTAATGTAACACATCCCCGGAAAATTATGCCAAGACGTTCGTCAAAGCATGGGCCAAAATGCCGCGAAAACTAAGTTAAATCATTTTATGGTTTTTAGTTAAAAATATGTATTTAACTAAAACCCTGTAATACCGTTTACTTTTTTAAATTTAAAATGTTCCGTTTGAAGAGGCCGTTCTCCAACGCATAGGATACACTTTTAATAAAAATTTAACTTTTTAAATTTTAAAGAGTTTCTACCCAGTTTCAAACAAAAATAGTACCAAAGCTGGAAAGAAAGCATCTACAGGGCAACTAGAAACGGAAGTAAGCGAAATCGCTATTTTTATAGTATATGGTATATTTGAAACCAAATCGTTGGCTAAATGACGTTAAATTGCAGGCAGTCATGGAACCTAAGGATTTACTACTTTAAAGTTCTTTGGGGATATTTCAGGAAAAAATCTTTTTGAACGCGTCACTATGGTAACCATGAACGTGAGGATATCACTGATCCAAATTTCGGCGTTATAAAGTAATTACCATGACATGTGATTACCATGCCGTTAAATGGGCCTGGTGGAGAAGTCCTTGATAGGTCTATCAAGACCCACCTCGACTAGACTCTGGCGGAGCTCAAGTTCTTGTTGCCGAAGTTCTTGTCTTGTCTGTTTACCGAAGAAGTTATTTCAAGGATTAGTGGAAACAGCCAAAAGAGTTCAGTAGCATTGTTTAGGTCTTTATATAATAAAGTTGCTTTAAGGACTTAAAATAACCCTATATAGGACATCGAGTATTGATTTTTTTCTGGGGTGTGGATTAGTAGACTGCAAATTGCTCAAGGAAACTTTTTTCACATATTCAGGGATTCTGTTAAAGACAAAAGATTTCACTATAAACTGTCCGTGTTTCGTCCTTGGTCTTTTTCCCATTCCGAAACGTGTGACATTCGCTTTTGGACACTTATGTTTGAATACGTGGACATTTACGCGCATTACAAGAAAAAAACTAATTTTAAAGAAATACCGTATCTTGCAAGACGCACATTGAACACTAATAGTATAATGCAAAAATCCAGTGGACGTTTAAAAAGAGGATTTCACGCATCTTATTGGTTACCATGACGTTTTCTAACCGTAACATCTGTTGAAGAAGCCACAATTAAGTCAAGCAAAACCCACTTCGGAGGCACGCCTTTTGTGGTGTATGCAAGGGCTGATTCTGATAATTGATTTATGCAAAAGAAATAGCTAAAGGTGAAGAAAAAATATGCGTGTTTTGCAAGAATGCACCAGGACTATTTTCATAAGCTTAATTTTCAGTTTAAAAAGCGGCCGGAGCTAATATATATATATATATATATATATATATATATATATATATATATATATAAGATGCTGCGTCTAAGTCCGGAGTTCTTCTTGTAAGTTATTTCTTAGAATAAAAAGAGATATCTAAATGAAGATTTGCGTGCAGCGATATGATAGGTGTGCCCTTGTTTCAGTGTTGCTCATGAACGCTTCCTTGCAAAAAAAAAAAAGAAAAAATAGGCTTCGGGCTGATAGCAGGCCACAAAAAAAAGTAATTAGGTGCAAAAGTCTTGAAAACACTAAGTACTTGAGCTTACCTGGGTCATTCACGTGGCAATTGATCTTCTTCTCTGCAAACGGCTGTTAATTTTTATATAAAAATCTCAGGTATATCAAAAATGGGTTTTTGAGCTTCAACTAATGCATTCTTTAGCCCTTCTAATCAAGAACATATTCGGGATCTTTCGGTTTGTCCTAAGTTTTCCTCGTATCTTTCAGAAGCCGCAAGAAAAGTGGCAATAACGTAGCCTATCGGTTAATGGCAAAAGAGAATGTTTAACTTTATTGACGCCTCGCCCAGAGCGAAGAAACTGGATAAGAGCTGAACTTTGCTGAAATCGCGAAAACGACGTACTGTTTATTGCCATGACAAGTTCGCTGTCTTGTTATATAAATGCTGATTTTTTTTTAGTTCGAAGGCTGGTGGATAAATGCATACCCGCGACAATAAACAACCCACCAAAGTTTAACCGGATTTAAAAAGAGCACCCTGTACTTCTTCGTGTAAAAGAACTTCAAACTAAAAGAAAATTATTCCCGAGATATCTTTAAGAGTATTGTAACTCTATGATATCTATAACTTCCAATCATTTTCTATAAATTTTGAACGGAATTTGGTAGTCCATTCAAGAAATGTGACTGTTTTTGTATTAAGTTATTACATAAATGTAAAGATTTTTTCATTCGGAAATAATTAAGTATTATGTACGATGGAACTATTTATCTTTATTCTACAAGGCTATTGTCATCATTTTATTTAGGACACAAAAATTGTACTTCCTCGAAATCTAAACGTGGATATAACATGTGGCAAAAAAAATATTGTCAAGGATTACTGGACTTCACCTTTTGTTGCAATGCAAAAAAGCTGCGGTAGTAATCCAGGAGATCTATTCTGCAGGCGATAAATTTGCCCAAGAATATATCGCTATCAAAAATGATTAAAGAGAGCCTAAAAAAATTTGTAAAATCTAATCAAGGTCTTCCACGTCAAAACTTCTATTTTTGAATTTAGCAAAATATCTTTGAGTCGTACGCTCGTAAACTCAGGCTGGCTATTTGTCCAGTGCTCTTGGTGAACCAGATTCTTTTCAGGACAAAACGACGAACTCATTCTGGTGAAAAACAGCATCTTAGAAAATTTTTATTCAATGTTTTCCTACTGGACAAAGGGTCAACGAGATAGTCAACTTCTTGTGTTACCTCAAGTATATAGTATCAAGCGTATAGTTTTGCAAATATTGACAAAAATACATGCGGCTGCAGAAGACGCAATAACAGGTTCCGAAAGACCACAACGAGAATCCGCAATAAAAAAAAAGCAGTTCAGACAGCGGAATTAATTAACGCTGCCTAAAAGTGCAATTCTGACTACTCTTTTGTTCCGATCAAATCGTTAGCGCAGACGTTTTATGAGAGTAGCCGTATTAGGTCACAAATTCTTCAAGAAGTCCTAAAGTGTACGTCATGTGGGAAAAATCAGACAGGTGCTCTCTGAGGCCAATAAAACCAAGAGCTTTTAACAATGATGTTTAGTCCATAGTTCTTTCAAGAACCAGGCACCAGGTCGTTTTCAACTGTTTTCTGATAAAACATATCATGAATTCAAAAATCAACCCCATTTTGGTCATGATCTCTGGCTTTTCTACGATCAATGAGATGTGTCTATTATGAGTAAAAGCAATATTTTGGTCTCCGAAATTCGAAGTTCGTGCTCCGAATGTCATATCTAGTCAAAACGACATCATGCCAACGTACTTCTTTAGAACGGCGGATTCACCGCTAAAGAAGTTTGCCTACTTCTTCTGTAGATTCAAGTGCGACCGTGGATAGCTAGTATCTAATAGAAGGCTATGCATCGTTTAGGTACACGGCTTTATATTAACAGGTTGCTTAAGGATATTAGCACGTGACAGCAATAAGCATATATGGCTGTCGTGCAGCCCAGGTTCACCTACGTTGAATTACTGCGTCCGAGGCATAACTGAGCAAGAATTCAACAAATCTTGAGATAACGATTTCAGTCACTTATTGGGATCTTTGTTGCGAAAGGGCTTAAAAAATTGAAATGATAAAATTTGAACCGAGTTTATGAGTGATCTAGACCCCAGATTGGACCTGTAATTGCAGTAAATGGCAGTTACACTGAATAAATATGATCGCCAACAATGCCATTTATAGTATATGCAAAAAAAAAAACACTAAAAGATCTTTCTTTGTTTAGACAGTGTTTATAAGCAAAAATCCGCAGTTTGGATGCTTCATTCTGTAGCCCTCGTCGGGCACGCCGTACAGATGCTTTTAACTAAGAAAAAATAAAAAGGTGTTTATAATGCTATTTTTATGCCCGATATACATATAGATAGCGAAAGGTAAATTTGTGAGTCAAACAAAGCAAGATAGGGCAAAAAAGATCTTTTCAGTTGCATGTAAAACTTGATTATCAGCAATCGGAAGTCTACCCAAGTGGCAATTCAGCTTTTGATAAAGGGAAAGGATTGTCAGGGAACGAATAGACTGCAACTTTGGTTTAAAGAAAGCTTAAGCATGAGAGGATTAGAGGCGACCAAGCTGTGTTTCAGGCGGTTTTGATCATTAAGAGGCAAAAGAACATAGCTTATTGCAAAGATATCAGGGCTACCAAGATTGTTTGTTGAAAGGATTTTTTAAAAAACATACAGAAGGACATTAGAGGAAAAGCGGGGTGGATCAATAAGGCAGACCTGCTATTGTATGAAAAGGAGAGAGTAATCAAATCTCTATTCCCAACTCATTAGCCATTCCACTGGGCACAATTTTCTCGCGCTATTTCAAAAAGAGGTATTTATGTGACGCGAGACGGGGCGCTTTAAGCGGAAGAGCAAATAAAGTTGGGCTACATGTCGGGTTCAGACGAGATTCTGACCATAATCACAATGACACTTTGGCACAGCGGTCAAGTGAGTTTTCAGACTGGGCCAATCTCCAATAGAGTGCATAACAGAAGAAGTAGTGCCTATTCCTAATGGAAATGGGCATAACAGACCACTATGTATCCTCGGAAAAGGATAAAAGCCACTTTGGAAAAGAAGCCTGGATTCTTCTCCGAAGACCAGTTCTTTCTGATTCAGTACGACTTGAAGAAACATTGGCCTGTGTTTTTAGCAATTAAAGGGATTTTTCGAAAAGTTGAAATTTTCATAATAGCCACAAAAATGTGGTTGCCTCAAGAAATTTATTCCTCGCAATACTCTTGAATATGAAAAACGCTTTTAATAACCTTTCTTGGCGGGTAGTGCCTACCTACTCGAATGTCAGTGTACTTGATCTCTCTGATCCCGGGCAACCAGCAAGACAAATCGAAGGTCTACGGAGAGACGATTTTTCCCATTGGACCTGAACCTTTTAGGGCTCGACCTTGGGTCCTTTCTATGAATTATGGTGTATGATGCAGTATTGCTACCCAGGTAATAACAATTGCTTATTCAAATGATCTCATGGCCGAGGCGCAAACAAGGACAAAGTTGCGGAGCTCCGGAGAAAAGCCAGTCGGGAGCTCAGACAAGTAAGATGAAAGGTCATAGATTGTTCATGTACCTAGCAAAATCCGCATCCATCCAACATATTGAAAGGACGAAACTGATCACGGAATGCGCGGGCTTCCGGTAGTGGTGAAAACGGACTAGGTATAATGGAAATCGCCAGAATTCTACCACACACTTACGGTACTAAACAAGAAAAACGAGGATACTCATAACCACTTCCGAACGACAGCGTTGTTCGGCGTCTTTGTGTAAACTAAGGGAGGCGCTTATCGACGCGGTTATGAAGGTGTTGAAAAGGGCCAGTGCTGATATTTAAGGTAATGCAAGCATAACGCACAGTTAGTGCGAATGCGGCAATATATCTTATTAAGTTTAGATCAAACTTTAGATCAAAGTTGAAAAAAGTATCGTATTGACCAAGGAGATGATACAAAATGCATAATCATAGTACCAGAAAAAAGTAAAGCGTAATTCTTATATTTGAGCTAAGTGTTGCTATGAGAACATTATTTCTAGGCTTGAGACGTGGGCACCAGAACCCGGTGCGGAGCTGAGGAGGATTTCAAAATTACCTTCACAGAACACAAAAGGCCCCTTTGTTTCGCTGCGTTTTTGTACATAGCGAGCCTTTAGGGCAGAGCTTACCACCTACGAACGGTACGCAAGACAATTGCCCGTATCAGGAAGCGACGGACGCACGAAAAATAACGCTATCTCATTGCAAATTAAAAAAGGCAAGCCATTAATCAAAGCAAACGTCATAGGCTAGTGTATAATAATTATTAAATTTTGCTTATGCTTTTTGCTAATGGTGCTTACAACAAAACAAGATCATTTTAATAAGTCTAGTTACCATCGAATCCTAAAATTTTTAAAATGAATAGTCGGCATGTTCCTTGCAGACCATGCTTAAAATGCTTATCAAACGAAGCTGTGAACCTGATCTACGTCCGAAGCTGATGCAACAAATTACTGTAATTTTTATGTCTTTGCTGAGACTAATATCAACATCAAGTGCTTAACCTCAAAACGCTTTAACATAACTTCATGAATGGCTTAAATTATGTATCTTTGTATTTACCGCATGAGATAGGCGAGGCACTCTGCGCGCAGTAATTTGAATTTAGGGCAGCCCGGGGACTGTACAAGCGCGCGTTCCATACAGTAAACGCATTTACGGTAATCGCCTTTAGCATATGCCTGCAATAAGCAACAGCATTGATGGTAAGATAACACGACCAGCGCAGTTACACAAATAATGACCACTCAAGTGTAAGATTCACAACTGTGTGCTTGGTTCTAGTAAAGAAGTTTATTAACGTCCAGTTGAAAAGTTTGTATTCTTAAGTATTCTTAATCATGTACGTTAGTAGTATGCAGATGATAATTTATTGTACCTTATCGCCTTCGGTGATATAGTTCTGAAGACTCTCAGCAGCTTTTGTTTCTTTTGCTACATCAGTGTGGTTCGGTTCCAGTGAACGCACTCGAGCTAAAGATCTGTAAAGAAATGCAGCCGTAAGCTATTGCTAAGGTTCCTATTCTATTACCTAATATTACATTTTTTTTTTTCTCAGACACTACCAACCAAGAATAGTATTAGTTACTACGATGACCTATTATAAATAATCCATCCCTTTACGTATACTGCACCTTGAATAAGTGAGCCATATATATATTAGGTCGCTCAATATAAAACGTCACATAGCAGAATTTTTCGAACTTTTTTCATAGGCTTAGCTCTACTCCTGGTTGAGGCATGAACCATTACTGTCTCTGACCTTCTGCCAATTAGATGGCAGCTTATATATTCCGCTACTGTAGAACTGCGGGATACGAGAGCCGATGAAGTCTTAAAAGGCAACTTCGGCATGGCACTAAAATGTACCGTTTTTTTTTTTTTTTTTTTTTTTTTATTAAGCTGTCGTGAGTTCTTGGAAAGTGGTAATTTGTGGAAACAATATCTGAAGATTATGGTGAATGACAGAGAGCATCCCTCTTAAGTCTTGCATTTTTGCCGCCATAACTCTCTGGTGTGAAATCGAACGTTGTCATCCAAGGAAAGTAGTTTTCACTGGTCTTAGCTTAATTTTTTTTAAAGAGTTTTTTTAATCATTTCTTTTAATTGTGAACAGTACACTTCAGCAGCAATCGACGAATCACGGCTCACGCAGTTGAAGTGAAACTTGTCTTGACAAAGGTGTCAAGCCACCAAACAATCGCCATAAGCTTTTGCAGGTGTACATTTGCTTTAGGACGATATCTCACCGGTTCAGTTGCACCCGTCTACTGATGTAATTGTCAGCGATTATCATAGAATATTTACGTTTTATCACGCAACAATTGCAATTCAGCTTGTAGTTTTTTATCTTGAGAATGGTATGGGTTAAACCACAGCTCTCAACTCGTTGTCATCCACATTCGCGAGGACCTTCCAAGACTCATTTTCCAGTTTGAAATGGTCTTCTTGGCATTTTTGAATTACGGCTTACGGTGTTTCTGCTAGTAAAACTCTCGTTAAAAGCTCCGCCGCTGTAGTTTCAGGAGGAACACATATTTGCAAACCACGAGAGCTTTCTGATTCTCTATGGCTCGTTGTAACCAGCCTGCTAAAAGCTCGAGCGACAATCTAATATCGAACAGTCTTATAATTCAAAGAGTGCATCTCAAATATAAAAAAAAAATGTATCGCGAATTATTCCACCACTAAAAAATAGCGTCAACTTTAAGTATTAGGTTAGCACTATGATTGTTATACAGAACGCTGAGCGATTTTACTGCGTCATGCTTGAGAGAATCGCGCAGTAAACACTCATACAGTCTTTTGGTTTTGTTGTTTTAGCATCTGTCTTACATTTATATCATATGTCGTGTACTTGATGTCCTTGTAGACAGTCCGTGATGTCGTACGCTCCCTTATATCAGTCCTCTCTAATGCCCTGATCCAAAACAAAAGGATCAATAGGAATGCACTTTTCGAAAGCGGCCATCAAATTGGGCTCTGCACTAATTTGTCTCTCTCGTGGGTTTTTCATTGTGCTGTGCTAAAAGCTCGTTCTGCTTCTTCTGCAGGCGCATACTTATTTACGATGCGACACACTGTCGATCTAGGATGGCCCAATAGAACATAATGTCGGTGGAACCTGTCCAGCACTTGATAAAAGTTGACCTTCGCTCAAATTTCGAAAACGAAGAACTGTTGCGAAGTTCGCTATGACAAGTTTATTATAAAAATAACTGACTCTGAACTAATATTAGAGGAGTGGAAGGAAAGGAGTGTCGTAAGGAAAGCGAGCCCCTTACGGCAAATGACCCTCTGAAATTGGTCCCAATTTAGATGCCGTACTTGAGCTGAAAAAGTGCTATACCGGCTGTTGTAATCGTATTAGTAGAGGTCCGAATCGACCGGTTTCGAAATGACATGATTGGTACAGCGTGTCAACCATGGGAGTACGGTTCCTGTTCGTCAGTTTGTATGGCACCCAGACATCGAACTCTTTTCAAATGGTTTAAAAGTGTTCGGTTGTAAATTTTTAATTCTTTGGCGATATTATGGCTACTCACATCTCAATTTTGCTGAACGTGCGGAATACTTTGATCAACTTTTCTACAGTTAGTCTAAAGGAGCACTTTCGCATCGAAATTGTCCAAAATTGGACAGTTTCTTGCGATCCTCTGTGTTGATAATGAACAACACACATTTTTTTTTAAAGGCCTGGACAGCATTTATCACAATGGCCTGTAAAATATAGCGAATTTTTGCAAAAACTTTACTCGTATTTAAGGTGCTCCATCTTGAGCCTGAATGCAGGAATTCCAACAATTTTAGCACATCTATCTCAGATTTTAAATAACACTGACTCCATGCGAGTCATATCACCTGAGATATGCGACTTTAAGGCCCTCCAGCTAGAAAAATCAGTCAAATACTGTATAAAAAAGAAGCAAAGAACACACTCATCATCACGGGAAGCAAACCCCATTTTCGTAATTTAAAAATAGGTCAGCTAATTGTCCAATCTCTCCGCGTTGAGCAGAAAGTCAAGAAAATAAACTTTATGCTTTGCTCAAAATCGACCGTATACGTTGCGACGGCCACTTTCTGTGCAAATGTGCAACTTTGTTTTGAGGAATGCAAAGAAGATTTACATGAGGAAAGGAAAATACCCATTGAGATTTATATATAAAGGGTTCAAAAATTCATTAAATTGTGATGATGATGATGATTCTTGATACACCTTTTTCATACAAAAATTAATAGTTTACTCCGACCATTATAGTTTTTCAGTATTTGACTATATTTGGTGAAAAGGAAGAAGAGATCATTTAAAATACTTGTACTCGTGTACTTGTTCAAATCTTAGACCAGTCTCCCTGCGAGATTTTTCGATAAAGTACGTTTTCGAAACATTCTTAATGTTATGCTTAGTTAAAAGCGGTTAGGTGCTAAAACCTTTTTTCAGACCCTTACCTAGGTCATCGGCTAATGAACATTTAACTAATACCGCCTGTAACTCGTATGAATAAATTAACAATTCTTTCTGACATTCACATACAACTAAGGTTTATCACTCTGCAGCTGTTTTTAATTTTAGGATACCCCCAAGCACCTACGTATGACGATTTCACGCAGATCATACATGACCTTGATTCGAGTTCTCCTGTGCATGTAATGTACTGAATCTTAATCCTATTGTGTAGGCATCGTTGAGGTCTGGGTAACGGTCTCAATGTTTCATTTTGGTTGCTTCGCTAGTCCTATATGTTAAACCGAAAAGGGGTCGTCAATGGGAATGTTTGATTAAACTTGTGTGGTTTATACTAGGTTTACTGGATTTTTTTATCAGAAAAGGAAATATTAGTTCACTAAGTGCCGTATGGTCTTAAATGTTGGACTGATGGGCCCCATCTTCGCTGTTGTGTTCTAAACTTAGGGCTCAAAAAAATATTATAGGTAGCCAATCAGGTTGTTCAGATAAGCTTTGACGGTTTGTTTTTTGAGACTTCGAGTACCTTATAGATATTTCGGCCGTTCTTAACCTTCGTCGTCTCGGGACTGCTATCAGCCTAAAATTTCATCCTACCGGAATTTATTGAAGCGATAATTAAACGAGCTGATACTTATCAATGTCGCGTCGAATATTGGTAAATATGATTGTTAGAGCTGCAGGATGTATATGAAAAATTTCCTTGAAATAGTTTTTGTTCAGGTGATGTGAACCCGAACGAGTGCGAAACCCGAAGCGTAGTTATAGTATAACTTAGGTTTCCAGTACGTAGAAAGATTCATCATAAAACTACTTGATCTATGAGCATTTAATAATGATGGTTTGATAGAGACGTCGTTCATTTACTGATTCTCAGTATTTTATTACTGTTATGGGATTACGTTTGCAGTAATTGTTACGCTATATGACTATATGGTATGACAAACCTAAAAGCAGCGGTCGGGTCTCCAAGTAGCTGATGGCATTTAGCCTCGCGCATAAGTGCCTTTATGTTAGACGAATCTCGTTTTAAGGACTCCTGTGAATCGAAATGAATATAAGTGAGCATATATTAAAACAGAAGTTCCATTCCATCCGTTTGAGAATAGCTTACGTTATCTTCAGGAAATTCACAGCACATGATTCTGAGCACGTACCTGACAGTCATTGAGAGCTTTTTGATATTGGTTGAGCATTAGGTGGCACGCAGCCCTACGACAAATGGAAAATTCAAAAACTTTTAGAATTATATAGGCCAGTCGATCAGCTTTTAACAAACACACATAAATCTAGTATCTAAATTATTTATATAACATTTCTCACGTTAAATTCAATAAGCCTTCCGGTGATTTTAAGACGGTATGCTGCAAAACAGCCTGTTCTTTGCCGAACAATTACTGCCAAAGTAAATATCGAAAACTAAATAAAATCCTGAGCTTATTCATGAGATAACAGCTGAATAGGCAGCGTTCTGTAAAATACCAAAGACGTAGTAATAAGCGCGAGAACTCAATATAGGTAAAGTGTCTAGTTGCGCCTATAAATATAATAAAAAGTAACCAGTGAGCATTTTCCAACATTCTCTATGGAAGTTATCTCACCTGTTGTTATATAGAGTAGCATTATCTGGACACAGCTGGACTGCTTCAGTGTATAATTGCAGTGCTTGGTCGTATTTTTTGTCCTTGTAAAGCACATTGCCCTCTGTCTTCTTTATTTCGGCAAGCCTGCATGTTGATTGACCAAAGTGAAAAAAAAATTACATTATAGTTTGTTTTAATAATGGTGGTAAAAATACATGTTGTCTGATTTGTGAGATAACGTTGACTTTTCTAAAAAACTTTCTGTACAGTGATTTTTGGTTATACGTACGTTTGCCTCATACTCTTTATTTGACATAATTTGGTACGAGATTAATGATTTTATTACACAAAGATATAACAATATGTGAAAGTTGTAGGTTCTAGTTTCAATAAAGTTATTTGTGAATTAATTGGAGTTTCATTAAGAAGCAGGATACAAAAAATAAAATAATTATGCCTTAATTTTCGATCTCGGCCAGTGAGGATGACGGTAACAGCTCTAGAGAATCTTCAGGACCGTCCCAGTTCCACCATGAATCGCTAAAAGTCCCACTTTATGCGCCATTCATAAGTGCCTTAACGGTTAACTTGCTCTAGTAACTCTGCACGTATGTTATAGCCAGTTTTCTTTTGTGGAACAGGTAAGTATAATTATGCATATTGCTGTTCCTCCTAAGAGCTTGGTTCGTAGAGGCCGACGAACTTTGTTGAAATGAGCGGAGTCTCTCCAGTTGAAGGCCACGGGTGGCGCACGTTCGTTCCACTCGCTCTTCTGAGAAGCTGACAGAAGTTTGCTTCTTCTGAATGCTATCCTTGTCGCCAAACTCCCAGCTACCGCCCCACTGTCAAGATCACCTTGTACGTAGGCGACCACCACTAACCACCAATATCATAGACTATGGCAATTCCATTACCATATGCCAGAGAATTTGAACTCGAGATCAACGCGCAAAAGACGAAAGGAATAAATTAAAACACGAAGACACGCTAGCCAAGAACAAGATACTGCGATTTCTCGGAAGAACGTGAGAATCGCCCATTTATTTATCTTTGTATAACACTTTGTATATCTTGTCAATGAATACACTCCCATCGATAAGCCACAGCGAAAGTGCTTGCTGCAGCATTATCAAAAAATTATCTACGATTGCTTTTACTTGCCATAGCTCTAGTGCTATTTAGTACGAAAATCGCACCAATTTGTTGTACGCTGTTGGACAGCCGTAGTAAAAACCCAATGTTTCGGATACCATCGCCAGGGTAAAGCCAGCTTACTTGAAGAACAGGTTACAAGCATTCGCATATAATGATCCCGTGCATTTACTAACTGGTACCTCATCCTTCATAGAACAACTTAAAGGACAATGTAAGCTCCATTGTGCGTCGGTAAACTCCCATCACATTAAAAAGATAACATTGATTCAGGTTTTCATATAAATGGAACTATAAGCAACGAAAGGTGGAAAGGTTTGAGTAGGACAAGTAATTATCAGACATGCGTCCACAGCTTGCACTTTGTACTATATAAAACAACGAGTCCTGCAGTTAAATAAAACACGTACTTGTAGCACTGCGATTGGCTGTGTGCTACGTGTCACAGCAATAGGTGCCCATTAGCTGCTTTATTTAAAAAAAAAACCTGCATTGACACCTTGACGCGTTAGGTTTTTTTTTTTTTCTATTTACCATCACTTCGGTAGCGTTCTGTACGACCCGTCTAATAAAAGAAGACAAAAATAATATAAGTTACCATTTAGACTGTTCTAAAACGAATACTTGTTCTCGTAATTCTAAAACCATTAACAATATTGTTTTCATTCAGCTATCAAGCTTAAAAAATTGTGGATATTGGACAATGCGTTAATAAGACTTCAAAATAAATAATCGGTTCAATGGTTGCACCCATGGTCTATTTTTTTTTTACAGTTTCTTGAATATATCATTTTGGACCTCTTGAACAAATCATTTCATGCTATAACCTACCCGAATACACGTAGCAGTGTCAACTATGTACTAAACGGTACTTCAAGGATCAGATAGTCGCACAGCCCACTCATCATTATACCTATCATTTTATACATTTAAAATACTAAATCACGCTTTTAATAAGCAGGTATTTTTTTTAAATGAATCCGTTTAATCTGTGTAATGGGTACACAATCAATGACTGTTACGAACCTCCCGTATTCGCGCCACCCTATTGCAAAAGTTCTAAATTATCATACACAATAGGTTACTCCACTGAAACGGCTTGTTGCAATACCCTTCTCACGTTTACATAAGTAAGAAAGCACTTGAAAACTGGTTGTATGCGTACATACATGGTATAACCAGTTTTAATTGGTTAACAGCGACTGGACGAGCTGTAGTACAAGCAGCCTTTGATGTCTTCGCAACTTTTTTAGGTTTGATGATTTCCAGATGCGAAAAACTGTGTGGAAAATTCGCAACGACAAATGGCAACCACGAGGCCACGATAGTACCATTTGCCTTGAGTAACGCCGTTTTGAATCAAGCTAACATCACGAAAAAGTGTAATATTGCAGGTAGTATCACGTTAAAGTTAGCACCATGACGAGCTCTTGCAGAAGAAAGCGATTGCTGCCAAGGCTAACGGGCAGGCTGATCTGTTTAAAGTCAGGCGCTATCATTCAGTTATCATCCGTCAGAGGGATAACATTACTACGATTGATATTACTAAGAGTTTTATTGACATGTAAAATTTTGTAGCACGGCATGTTTCCAGTGTACATGGGTTACACATAGCAAACTGGAAATGTCTAAAAGCGCATTTAAATTAGGAGGCTCTTGAACGGAGAAGTCTTCTGAAACGGCCACGGAGTTTACAACGATGACTTGGATTATAGAAAAACATATCGTTTGAACTGCACATAAATGAAAATCCTCGAACATTGCTGGTGATATATATATATATATATAAGCTGAGATGAAATTTTTCACTTGAGGGCCCATAAAATCTAGCTGACGTAACATGTTGATCCAGACTTGCTATATTATTATAGCCCTGTTATTTAGCTCCCCTGTGACTCTCATTTGGTTTGAATACATACACACAATTATTACGTTAAATTTTGCAAAAGTAAAAAGCGCCTCAACTTTGCCTAATATTCAGGTGGGTTGAAACACATTATCACCCATTACATACTTCAAACACAAATTGAAGCTAAGGGACAACTTGCCGCCACACTTGTTTCCGGTCCTTATTAATTATACTATATCTTTATTATGAAAATTCACTCTACCAAAAAAAAAAAGCATATCTCGTTATTTAACGTATTACAGCACTTTTGGGCTTATTACCCTATAAAGAGATTAACAAACTAAATAGAGCAAAAATAAAAAAAGCTGAACTAAGCTATTGAAAACGCTACGGCATGTTGCCAGCAGATCTGAGGTGTCAACTCGGTTCCACTTGTGTCGTAGATCGTGAAGGAAAAATAGTGAATTAAGCCTCGTTACTGAAAAGGAATGACTACGTATCGTATCTTTAAATGTTTAGTTCATTTATAATATGGACTACCACACGGAATAATACGACTACGATACTACAAAAAGTATAATGCGAGTGCGGTAACAACGTCATTTTTAGATAACTGAGCTTAAAAAAATTATAAACTGAATGAATCACAGTAAATATACCACTTCAAACTAGAAGAACAGGCGGGGCAACTGCCATTGACTGTACGCCCAAATTACGATATCTTACATATAAAGGATAATTAAAAATAATTTATGGCGAATCAAAAAGCTCACCCTTGCGTGGATTTAAAACCCTACCGATGATTTCATCTCGGCCTTATTTCGTGACACTACAGAACTCCCGGTGAGCATGCTACACCTATGTTTCTCTACCGAACTAACACGTTGAGACACTTTTCTAAACCTGATAGTAGGTAAACGGCCACTAAAGTATAGCGTTTCGTTTCTACATTTGATCTCTTCCATTTCTACAACATTAAGTGCACAGTTCGAAAGAGTAGTGGCCTATGATATCCCAGTGGAGACACCTCTGTGTTTTATAATCATAGAATAGGTGACCTCTTGTCAAGATTAGCTGACGGTAAGGTTGTCGCATTCTATACCCATGTATTAACATCGTAGCAACTTATATTCTCTTCGATAAGCCAGAGTCGGCACTCGTGCTAATAAAGAAGCATATTAATGGTCTGGAAACATTGTCGCTCCCCTCGATTTCCCCTTTAATTATAGCTGTTGACTTACACGTCCGCTTAGACTCACCAAACTCAAATTGCACGTTAGCTCCGAAACATGTTTGCAAGTTATTGTTGTTGAATATTTAGTGTAAGTTCGGTACCTAGGTTTAGAAAACACGCTGGAACGTGAGTTACTGATGTGTTTGTAACGAATATCACCCGAAATAAAGTTCGGTTCTGTGGAAGAAGAGGACAGATGTATACGAATACACATCCAGATTACTATAGATTTCTTGGTGTCCGCGGGATCATTCCAGACTTCCAGAAATCAATTGCTGCCACGTACTCTGGACAAGGAAATTTTCTAGAGCTATCACACGAAGTCATCCCGGTATTTCGTGCTATCGATACAACAAGCACACTTTTTTTTAAATCGTTTAGTTATTCGTCCGACCTACTATCCTCAGAAGATAAAGAGAGAGTCTCTTTCGCTTTTCCCGAAAAGCTTTAAACATTTTCAGGTTGTTACTAAAAATGCAGCCCGTAGTCTACCCTCCGGTCGCGGCGGTCGAAATAATGTACTGTATTACATAACGTCACATAACGGAAGAACGATCTAAAGATGTTATAAAGTCGGTAAATAGCAGAGGCAGGGCTTAAACCATACAATGAATCGAACATATATCATAGCTTTTTATTGAATTGTGTTCTTTAATTAGTGTCTACATGCCGATGACGTGCCGACCCATTGAAGAGATGGCTTGGTATTGATGATTCTTGAAGGAAAAAGTGCCATCGTCATGGTGCGGAATCACTAAGAAAAGAATTTGCCACAATGGCTGTAGCATAAGAAATATTCGCAGTGAAACTATTAAAGGACAATATAAGCATTGATGACCCAGTGGTATAGCTACCTCTATTTGAGCCCACTTTTGCGCTTAGTTTTATTCAAACAGATGAGAAACCGAC